GATTAAGATTTGTTGAAAATTGCAACTCTGTGCCACAGAATCACAAGACTAACTTTTTAAGGTAAATCTCACTCTCACTTTCAGTGTGGAGCCATTGTTTTATCATTTTTGCAGGTCCACATTACCTAGTTATATTTAGAAAAGTGTTGAAAATATTACTGGTATTGTGCATGAAATTACTTATTGATTCAGAGATATACAATTACAAACAAACAAGTAACATATTTTCACCTCTCTAGATAAGGAATGTCAAGATAAAAAGATTATTTTGCTGGGGACTATGAAATACGCTTTTGCATTCATGACGTTTTAACCATTCACTTCAGCTATCCAAAAATTGTGGATATTTTTTCAGTCAGGGGCAAGAAAATGTCCTTTTACATCATTTGTAATGCTGTCCTCCTGCCCTACTTAATTTGTGTACAGTTGATTTACAGTGTCAGTCTGTATTAATAAATGGTTCAATTTTTTTCTGTTGTCCGCTTCATTAACCTGTCCCTCATGATTGTTTTTGCGATTGACGTGAAACATTTTCTCCACAACATTCAAGCTGTGATTTGCTGGTACGAAATGATGCTCTAGTACATGAATGACACAACATTAAACCAATCGGAATGCTGATCAGAGAAACTAGCGGTATCTTGTACGAATAGGATTCATGAGAGATGCGGACGAAAGTGTTTTTTCCACTGGACAGCAACGATTCGCTAAGGAATCATTATAACGCTGTGTGCGGTTGGGTGATCACATCACGCAAGATACATTGATTACGCTTTTAGATTTAATAATCCAGGTTTATCAAGAGCAAAAACTTCGTTCAATTAGCTTGACAGGATTGAAATGTTACAGTTTAGGGCCCCAACAGTGCTAAAGGAGTTGTTTCAATCCAGTCTTAAGCGTTCTTTGACAGGTATTGCAAAAATTAAAACGTCATCTACAGAATTTTACGGTTTTAGGTCCGGCTGTCACGATGTCAGAGTGTTATCTAAATTGAGGACCTTCCATGCCGGCGAATATCGACCGTCACTGTACCCTTCCACGGAGGTCAGATCTTTCTGTACGAAGACCGAGGGCGCTGTAGCGGCGACTGAACAAACGAAAAAGGATGAAATCAGCAAAGAGGCACTGGCAGAGAAGTAAGTACTGCTGTCCACAAGCAAGAGAAATCTCGTGGTGAATGTAAGCTAATGATAGTATTTATGTGCATAGACCAAGTAAATGACGACGGGTGTAAATGTATTGCAATGGAACTGGAGTGCGCAGCAAACATCCAGCAAGGAATTGATGCTAGGAAACAGAGTACCTCTGTAGGTAGCTATACAGTGTAGCGTCACATAATTGCTGGTTCATCGGTTACCTTCTAACCATCATTTGGATGCCTTGGAGGAAAATGCGTTGCTTTTATGTTTGAAAGAACATTTTATCATTTAAATAATACAAACCGCTAGTGATCGCGATCAAACCACCTATGTAGCCACTTGCTGGTCTAGAGGAATAATCCTAATAATAATACGATTAATGTATTATCTATAACTAAACCCAGTCAGATAAATCACTATTACCGTACCACGTATTTTTTTCTTGAAGTCTGGGCCGCTATGAGTTTGTTCTCCTTTGATGTCAAGATCTGACTGGCAGCTGAGAAATGTTGGGTTTATCTTGCTTTCTCAGAGATGGTTGGTATTTTTTTAGACACATGACACGTACTGGTGGGAAAGCCATCCACCCGTAGCATCTACGAGCGGTAATAACTATGTTCTTTGAAACTGGAAAAATGAATTCTTTGTATAAAAAATGTAAGCCTATTAGAGAAAAACACGTAAAAGCACTGCGGGTTGGCATAACACCCAGAAGTTGAGTCATCGTCACGACTTTTCTGTTGTACAGATGTATTCGCTGGAAGACTTTGGCCACATGATGATGAGATCACACGTATTCCAGGTCATAGTCTCTCACGATCGGTGGGTGTATGTAGTCTACATATCATCAAATACAGTGCATCACAGTATGGCTTTTCCGTCTGCAATATGAGCCGGCATTTACGCCCTGGAGCACAAACCCCTCTCTGATGCAATTGCGTTTGTGTCATGAAACAAGCCACATGCACCGCGTACTATCATTGAAACCCCTATAGTATAACGGGATAATATAAACAATCACTGGTTGTTTAACACGCCGAATTGCCCAGTTCTCAATTGCGCGTGGTTGTACATTACTGGACCCAATATAAGTATGAGCGTATAGTGTTAACTCCTGTTTAAAACCACAGTAGAACTATAATCTCTAAACGTCTGATGTGGATGTTTGTGTTTGAATTCCGAAGATTTAAAATCGAAGAAGCGGGGAGTTGACAAGATGCTGTAAGTTTTATCTAGTGAGGCTGACAATAAGATCATAACCAGAGCCATACAATAAGGCTTGAAGTACTTCATTAGAGATTGAGTCACTGTATTACACAGTTCTTCCGTAAATATGGTCACATGAAATGCCGTAATGCAGGGGCAAACTAAGGCTCTGACGAACTCTGTAAGCCAAACTGTTAAAACTGTTTGGAAGTCATTAAAACTGAAATATGCTCATTGGTTTTACAAGATCTTGATGTAGTGTTCTCAGTCCTGAGACTTTTTCTTGAATGAGGAGCAGGTGTTGGAAACAAGCTTGGCCTGCTCTCTTTCCAATTAAGGAAGATGTTCGATATAGTATATAGTCATAGTGTGTCATTATACTGAACACCTTACTTCTACTCCCCTGCCTGCTTCTGATGCCCAACATAACGTTTTATATCAAAGATGGACTTCATTTCCCTGTGGCTTCAAATTTGTTTTACATCCTGTCACTAGGACCAGGACTATGTTACTTTGCACCATTCAGTTTCTGAGTAAACTGTACGCTGATGTACGGCTGTCATCTGTAGGGCTGTGTGAGTGATTGTGAATGTGTGAGATTGATATTCGGTTTGGATGCAGGACTAACTGCTGACGGAGATCAAGCCCTCTTACAGGACCCCGTCCCAGTGTCGCCATAACAACCAAAGAGACCGCAGCGTTGGCTTGGTTTTGCAGGTCTCAGCTTCACCAAACTGAACTTCGCCTCCTCCCGTTCCCCAATCAGACACCACTGGGGCTATTTTAAAGTCTCCCTCAGTGATGTTGTCTCTGGGGAGCAAACCTCACTCTGTGCTGGTCTGCCCGGAGCAGTTTTGCCTCAACAATCAGAAGTGTGAATGATGTAGGGAAATCGTATACGTGAGTGGTTAGGTGAGACAGGGAGCGGCAGAAAGAATTTAATGGTGGAAAAGCTGACTTCCTGCTCCCTCACATACTCATGTTTCAGCACCTGGAGCATCAGGACAGTTGTCCTGGTTCATTCTCCAATGCACCGGGAAACCGGCAGTCACTAAAGCCATGCGTAAGCTAAAGCGTCTGGCTGTGGCTACCCGACCTTGAGCATGTATACGCATACGCGTCTCTGCACTCCTGCAGCTTTTAAATATTTATCAGAGAAGAAGAAGCAGCCACGATATTTTTCATGAGCTTCAGGAAAATATACCTCTCTCCAGTGAATTACTGACGCACCTATACTGACGACTGCAGCTGTACACAGCAGGTGCTTGAACATTAATGAGGTCGTTTTTAACAGATCACAAACCAGTGTTGGAGCCGGGTCATGAATGCCAATTCGAGTCTTCCCTCCACGTTCTCAAGTCTGTTTTTAAGTCACCACAGTCTACTTAGCATTAAGTCCCCCCCCAAACCACTTCCTGCTACTATCAAGTTATTACAATTTCTAAAGACATAATTTAACAATGTTACAATTCAGGAGCAGTTTATGATCAATTCAGTTAGCTAACTTGCTACACCCTGCCCTGCCAGAATACAGCACTAAAGAAGCCAAAAATAGCAGGTCACTGAAAAGGGGACATGGCGTACAGAAAACTCACACAGAGGAAAATAATTAATGATATACGGAAATTCACCACAGCAACCAATATAAATAATAAAGGTGAGCTCTTACAACATTGTCTAATGCCCCTCCTGATTGCAAAATCTTGTGCAGGTGTTCCAAAGCAACACAACTATTGATACCATTGTACAACATACCAATTAAAATGATAAATTTCTTCCAAAACCAAAATAATTTAAGCTTCTAATATGAAGGGATGCTCCACCGAATCAAATGCTTTGTAAAAATCCAGAAATAATTCTACTCCATTTATCAGTAAGCTTGTTACTGCCCTTTTTCTCCTTGTTACTGCCCTGTCTTCTCTTCTCCAAGTTACTGAAGTACAAAGTATTCTTTTCTCCTTCCTCTATCCACTTTGCTCTTGATCTCACAAATGCACCCTGAGCTTTTACAAGATGCATATCTTCTAATTTGGATTACAGTGTCATTAGTTTCTCTTATCCTCATTACTCAATTCTGCTTTGGAGCAGCACAGACTGATTTCATGAAACAAGTCACTTTCTTCTTTCCTTTTACCTTAATGAGTTCCTTACTGAATTTTATCAAAAATTCTCTTACTTAATATTTTACAAATTCCCATTTATTACCAAAGCTGTCTATGGTCTCAGTACTTTCAATTTCAGTTATAATTTATTTTATCTGTGCACAGTATCCCTCAGTTTTTAACAAATTTGAAGTCAAATTTCCAGTAGCCTTTGTTTTGCTCTGTTTTAATAACAGAACTTTGTTTCATTTCTAAAATGCGGTCATCAGTTAATTGGGCTTTGAAAATTGGAATGTCCGAGACAAATTCCATGAGTGGATCAGCAGTAAACCAGTAGTCAAAGTCTTGCAAGATTTGCAGGTACCATTTGGTTTAAAACAGGAATATTGTCTTTTCCTTGGAATTGCAACTTCTCCATATATCTGCTTGGGAATTTTTACTAATAAATTCTCCAATTGTGTGATTATAGTGATAACTGTTAAATTTAGAGGGCCACTTATCTTTCCATTCGTCAGGTGTCATATTCTAGTCACCACCTTAATTAATGCAGGGAGAGCCTGTAGTCTAGTGGCTAAGATACATGACTGGCACATCTGAGGCTGGTGGTTCAAGTCCTAGTCCAGCCACAGCAAGAACACCATTGCTGTTGGGCCCCTGAGCAAGGCCCCCAACCCCACATTGGCCCTTGGTTAGTCTTCTCAACTGTAAGTTGCTTTGGATAAAAGCGTCAGCTAAATGACTGTGTAATGTAATAATGTAATGTAACTAATATGAAAAAATGACTTTCAGCCTTTAAAACCACCATTAACCATTGACCCTGCCCATCAGCTTGTGTGTGATGACATCACCGGAAAACCCATTGAAACATTGCAACACCAGCATATCTGTTGGTTCCATGACCAAACAATATTCAATCACCCCATTGGTTAGTCCAAAAGTTCACATCCACGTCGGAAGAATGAGTTTCTTGAACAAAACAAGTTCACTAGCAGTAGCTGTGGACAAGAAGAAAATTAGATAGCTTGTTGACAGATTAGGGATGCAACTATACCTATGCACAAGCAATACTGCCATGTCTGTCTGTCTGAAATGCTATTTGCTCCCTCAATGACACCATGTATCTGTTCAAGACTTCTCATTCTCTTTGGGTTCATTAATGCAAGCTGACAGTTCTGTGTGTTCACATTATATAATGAACTCCTGCCCACCCCCTCATGTTTATATATCAATTCGTAATGAATTTCTGCCTCCTATATGATGTTTGAATATTCATTTTGTTGGTACCCAGGAATTCATTGATGATTTACATTTAAATGACCATATGGGAAACATAAAATTTCAGATGAAAAGCATCGTTTTGGCAAACAACAGCAGTGCCTCGCTCAGAAACTGACCACTCATACATCTAAAACATGGGAATATAAAGCTTCTTGGAGCTGGCTGTTTGTACATTTGTAAATGAGAGTTGTTGACCGTTGGGTCATTTTTCCCAGTTCACTTATGAAGATCCCAATTACAAAAAGGTGAGTATAAACTATAATTTGATGCTTCTTCTGTCCTTAAATACCTGAATTACCTTGGCAACCAGTACAAAGTCACAACTGGAGAGAGAGAAAGGAGGAGTTGCGGGAAGAGTGGGAGATAGAGAGTGGGATAAAGAGAGTGATCACTGAGAGTTTGGGCAAAAGAAAGATCAATAATTAATAACAAGGTGCTTTCGTTTCGCAATACTAATTTTGAAAATGGCATTTCATCCTACTGGTGTCTGTGGTTTACACTGGAAATGTGCCAGCTGGGAAGGGAACAGTCAAGATCATACATATCTTAAGGGGAGAGAATGGACTGTGATGTAGGCCAGAACTACCCCCTCAGGACCTTTTTCCTTTTAATTTATTATGTAGAAGATGGAAGTGTGGAAAGATAGAAGCATGGACTGTGCCAACATAAAGAGTTTGGAGATTTAAAAAAATACACATACAGGGCCTCCGGGTGGCTCACAGGGTAAGACTGCTCATTCGCCTGGGAGTCCTGAGGTCGGGGGCAGTGTGCAACTAGTAGTGCGGCTGCTGCGTGTGTATAAGAAGCGAGATTGTTGTCATGTGAACCGGAGGAGTCACATGTTCAGCCTCTCCTCCCGAAACCGACAGAGTGGGGTCAACAAGTTCAGCTGAGTTTGGGTTGGCAAAATTGGGGAAAAAAACAGGGTTAAAATTAAAAAAATAAAAAATACACATACGCCCCCACTGCCTGATTTGTTTGTAATGTAGTTAAGAGATCTGGGTCACCTTTAGATTGTTATGAAGAGGTGTTTTTCTGTTTAAGTTAACTCGATTATTATTATTATTATCTGGTGTTGCCAGTTATATTTGGCTGGAAATTTGACAGTCACCATGTCCAACGCACACATACAGCCCCTTTGCATGAACAAGCTGCCAGAAAAAAAAACACATACTGCTAGTTATGTCCGAAGCAAAGAGTGAATTCAGTGCATTTCCTTGGTGGCCTTATTTTAAAGTACAATAAAAGAAAGTAAGTGAAGAGAGAGATTTGGAGGTGCTGTTTTGAGGACAGTAGTGACAACCGAGGAGCCTGTCAATGGAGGTGACATTGATGGGATTATGTTGTCTTCTTAATGTATTATATATGTGGGTCAGAGTATTCTGGTCCATAGAGGTAAGGGAGGGTGCCCCTCCCCTATTTTTTGAGAGGAAAGAGGAAGACTAAAATAAAAATGTACTTGAAATGTAATGTTGGAAAACCTTGCTGTCATAAATGCCTCAATAGTGACCCTCAGCAGCACAACACAGCAGACCTATTAACTCGATGCGTTCCATTTTTCCTCTCTCAACCTGTGATTGGCCAGGGAACGTAGTTTGTTGCTTCAAGGGAAGTGATCCTCCCTTTGCGATTGACAACGCTTACGTCCAACCACCAGCAAAGCATTCATGAGAAAAGTTCTGACCATTTTAAATTGCCTGCCTACCCATTTGTCAATGCGACTCAAAACAAAACTGATTGTAGATCAGTGTTTTTACTTAGCGATGCTAGTATAATTCTAACCTTTTTTTAAATGCAGCGTTCAAAAGTAAAGGTTATCTAGTCATAGGTGAATGATGATAGATGGTTTGTTACCTTTTCATAGAATTAATAACCTGCCTTGACTCCTTTTTTTAGCAAATACGGCAATGGCACCAGCTGTGAACGATCCCATATTGCATCAAACGAAAACATGAACTCATTTTTGTTTAGCACAAAGCTAATACAAAATAAATAAATCCTTATCAGCACTATTCACCATTTTAATCCCACAATGAATATTGTTGGTTTGGTTCTCTTTCTATCTTGAAACTAAAATCTTAAGAGTTCTCTGGGAAGACTACTTCTTTCAATTCAATGATTGGTTCGCACCAGGATTCAATTAGGGCATTCTTACCTATCCCAAAGAATCACACCAAAGGAGTAAACGCTCCTGGGGTTCATTTAAACTTAACACTCCAAACTTAACACTTCACATTCATAATGTTCCGTCATTAGCTCTTGGGATGAGTGGACTGCAGCACTTCGCTAGTAAATAATCACAGTTCCAAAGTCAGCAGCTTGCTAGCCAGCATCTTGCAGTTTTACAGGACACAGTTATAAAAAACAGAGACACTGCATGATTGTAATGCCTTGCACTGTCGTGAAACACATCTTGTAGGTATACTGCCTGTAAACTGTTACTATGCTGGTGATGTAGCCTACCACAGCATCTGGTGCATTTTTGCTTTTATAAATTATTTTCTACATATATAAATAATTTCAAGGACATCTTGTATTTACATCATTATTTCATCCTCCCACTACTATTTTTGTTTGGTGGTTACTATGAATGCCGCATAAAGAAAATGGCACTGCTTTTCAGGGGATGTAGATGAGGACAGGCCTGAAAATGTGAAAACACGGGTAAAAAGAATTTGATGGAAACAGTTTACATTGAGAGGATTTTATCTGTTCTAGAAACATGACCACTGATGCTGAGCACATGTTCCACAGAAATAAATGTAAAATTTTATTTGGAATTTCATTTACAAAGTAGTATTCATATTTCGATATGGCATTTATTTCTTTAAATAGTATTTTATAAGTAATTTGAACTTCAGAAGTAATTTTTTTGGCCCACTTCATTTGCAAGTAATTCAAGTACACAAAACCAACGTTTTGAATAAAATTTTTTCATGCTTGCATGTGTGCAAGTGCTGGTAGAAAAAGGAGGAAAACCACCTAAAAATCAGGTGGGTCTTTGATGGAATTAACTGTTCCTTCTCCTTAACAGACTTTGTTTTTGTGAATTTACAATCGAGACAATTTTTCTTTTTTTGCCAAAGGAATTCCTGATTGGACAAGAAGCAATGGACTTCAATCGTTGAAACATAGTGATGGGGAATAACCAAGTAATGAAGCCAGTGAAGCTGTGTAGTGATTAAGATTTGATGTTTAAATGCTTATGTTCAACAAGATGGAAGTGAAAACCTTGAGATTGAAGATACTGAGTCTACAATATCAGTGGCATCAGTTTTACCTAGTATAACCAAAAACATTATTGACCAGTTGGTTATTGGAGATCAGCACTTATTTGCAAATATATGATGTCCTTCCTGTAATCATTATAATTATAAAAGTTCAGTTTAGAACCAAGCTTAGAGGAGGATTGTGCATAGATATATTCATGTTAATGCATAAAAATACTTGTGAAGGTAGGTTTTTATTCGTAAATTTTAATGGTGGAATTTGGCTGTTCACTTGCACTGTTCATGAAACAAGTTCAGAGATCATATGAAGGTGAGGTCTTACAGATATACTGTAAGAAAACTACTGAAACAATGGTCTTTTACCATTCGAGGCTAATGAAATTTGTGCGAACCCTTTGTGTAATTAATAAACAAGTCATATATTATTCTGCCACAGTATGGCCAGTATTATTGCAAGGGTTTGGTCTTTGTAGTTATATTTTATTTGTATGTTAATGAAAAGTCTGAATTGATTTTTTAAATTTATGTCATTTATGTATTGCATGTTTTTTTTCTCTTTTTCACTCATGTGCTTGCTTTACGTTTGTGTAAGTATTTTTGCTTTTAAAGAACTTGTTGCTTTAGTATTGACTCTGAGGCTTGTAGCTGACAATTCTTTTACCAAAGAAAGCCCACCCCCAATCCGCCCCCCACCCTCCTTGAGCAATGTTGCTTGACTCAACCTCCTAGGTATCCCATAGTCCCTTTCTAGACTAGTCACCCTCTCCAATGTCAGTTATGCAGGAATGATTCCAGAGACAGAGTAAACCCAAAGAAATTATAAGTTTTTTTAAATAACCAATACATTTAAGAGGTGATTCACAAATATATGTATTTTGTTCAATTTCAGCTAAAGGTTTAAAAATGTTTTTAAAAATGGCATTCCTTTTCCTATCCAACACTATGCTGGGAACACTGGCCTCTGCTGGGATGTGTTGTTGCAAAGCCAGGGGCCTGTTTGTTAGTCTCTCTGTCAGTGGCCCTTACAGTACTGTGCAAAAGTCTTTGGTGCATCAAAACATACGGTACAGCGAACTTGCTTTCAAAAGAATGAAATTAAAAGTTTATAGAAATAAAAAAA